ATGGATCAGTACAATTTTTTCATGAGGAGTAGTATTTATATACATCTTTTATTTGATATACTGTTTTTTTTAATCGGACCATTTCCCTATATACGAGGGGGGTTCAAATCTAAAAAATGCATGTAGAAAATAGAACTTTTTCAACTTAAATTTTAAAAGTGTTCCGGAAAGTCTGACACTTTTATATATATCTTAAATTAAATCTAATGTAATATATAATAAAAATTGATCACTTGTGGCTAGTTAATTAAGTAAAATTAAAACTATATTAAAAATATTATTAATTTAAAAAAACTAAAAAATATTAAAAATATTAAACTCAAAAGCCACAAAAAAATTAATGAAAAGTCGCGGATACGTATTTCGGAAACAATGTTACCATTATCAACGCTAAACACATACTGACACCCCGACTAGAAAAAACTCCCTTATATACCCCTAGTGACCTTATCACCTAGTGACGTTATCACTAAGTAATATTATCACATTTTGCCAGTTTACACAAGTTTAATAATGAATTTTTCAGTGGGCCAAGATCCCAATTAATTAAATTGTTTTTATTTTTAAACATTTCTATTGCTTCTCTGATATTAAGTTCTTTGTAATTATTTACGTTTTTAATTAGTTTTATGGTTTTAATAGAGTGATTATGTGTCAATAAATGTTCGGCCACTGGAGATTTCTCAATTTCTTGATTTTTAATATTTCTTAAGTGCTCTTTAAACCTGACCCCTATATTTCTTTTTGTTTGTCCTACGTAACATTTATTACAACTTTCACATTGTATTTTATAAATGCCTGATTTCCCCCCTTCATCTACCTTATCTTTAGGGTTACCTAATAAATCTCTTAAATTATTACTCTTAGATGTTACCAAAGTAATACCAAAATTCTTAAATATTTTAGTTAATCCATTTGAGATGCCCGGATAAAATAAAATTGGTGATCTAATTACTTTTTGTTCCCCCTCGCTGGAGAGTGTACTAGCTGCCCTCCTTTCTTTTTTCCACTTTTGTTTTCGGACTAATTTCAAAATTATGTTTTCGTTATACCCATTAAATTTAGCTATTTCTTTTATAACCACCAATTCTTTATCATAATCTATTTTATTCATCGGAATATTAATTAATCTGTAAACCATACTATTAAAAGCTGACAATTTGTGTTGCCAGGTGTGGTTCGATGTGTTCGGAATGTATCTGAACGTGTGTGTGTTTTTCCGATAAATTTCAAAATTTAGTTCCCCCTCTGTTCTTTTAACTAATAAATCCAAAAAAGGCAATTTTCCCTCTATTTCTTGTTCATATGTAAATTTAATCGATGGGTAAAAAGAATTTAAATGTTGTATGAAAACCCCCATATTAAAATCTTTATTTATAACTGCAAAAATATCATCGACATACCTAACCCAAATTTTTGGAAAATCACCATAAGTGTATTTTAAATTTGTTTCAAACCTACTCATAAAAAGTTCTGCTAAAAATGGTGATAGCGGATTTCCCATTGCTGTGCCCTCAGTTTGCTCATAAAATTTATTTTGAAACTGAAAATCATTTTGACTCATACATGTATGTATGTATGTATGGTATTAGATGGTCGGAGTACCAGATGTTCGTAACAATTACTACTTTGTCAAATGTCAAAGTATGTAAATGTCGGAGCATTATTAGTTCGTGGCAAATGTGTTTTCTCTGAATGAATATTTTATGATTTAAAAAAAAGAATATAATAATTCGATTCACGATATATTGGTCAACTAAACATGGATTTTATCGATATTTTATAAAAAAAATTTATTTTATATATAAACAATTAAAATTGGTTGCTGTCATTTTAAATTAATTTTAAGACAACTTACATTTTATAATAGTTATGCATTTTATAGTTCATTAATAAACCATCCGATACCTAGATTTTAGCTTCGATGCGAAGCTGAGAAGGTATTAATTTTTACCAAGATGTGTTTTTTTTGTGTCTGTTGCCACATTTCTCAGCTCTCACTGGACTGATTTTGATGAACAATATGTCAAAAGATCACAAAACGTATCTAGTTGAAGACATTACCCTTAAAAATTGAAAAAAAAATCCCTCGTTCTCCGTAAATGGGGGATATCTCCAAAAAAATTTAAATTTTTAAAATAGGTAAATTTCGTCATTTATTTTACTTTTTTTTTTAAATTAACATAACTTTTTCAAAAATTAACAAGTCAACCTAATTTATTATATATGGATACCTTATATATTTGCCTTTCATTTGATATAAATTTTTTGAAAAACTGGCCCTTTACCTGTCCACAGGGGGGATTCATAATAGTGACTTCTGCACAAAAATTTAACTTTTTTATCTTAAGTTTTGAAAATGGTCCGGAAATACTCCGAGCTTCAAATGTATGTTAAATTATAGATAATTTTACGCACTTTAAGTTCAAAAAAAAAAATTTGTCGCAACACCTTTTCTTCTATGTGCAAATGCCCGTCGAATTTAGTTGGGACAAGTATAGATGATATCTGACAGTGATTAAAATCACCATCATATGAAACGCTTCGATGATGCAAATCTGTAGATAGTGTTTAATTTTAAGAAATAGATAGATTATTTCAATAGCAATAATAACTCTTATTTTTAGTTCATAATCGGTGGCTATTTGCACATAGAATATAAGTCATTAGGAAAAATGTTATTCCCTTAATATTATCTCGATTAGTTATTTGATTTATTTTTATAATATATGAATAAATAATAATTATAGTAATTAAATTTAGTATGAAATTGATATTCAACAATTTAATATTGTAATTTTTACGGAGATATTATAAAAATAATAAAGTAGTTGTATACTTTTAACGCATATAAAAATTTAAAGGGCTTGATGCAATACTTTTCAATTAGAAATGTTTGTTATGTATAACAAAGTTATAAGTTTTATACACTGGAATACAAAGAACTTTCATCAAAACAAAAATAAATTTTTCTAAATCAACTTTTTGTGATGTTTTAAAATGTGCAATTAGACGTTTTCTATCACTTCAAAATTTTTATATTGTTACTAACTAGTAAAAAGTGAGTATTTACATATAAAAAAAAATCTAATCAGTTGAGCGTATAATAAAAATTGATTATAATTGCAAAAATCAATTATAAAATAAGGTAACCAAAAATCATTTTAACAGTAACATTTTACCAAATAATTTAGAATATTATAGATTGTTAGTATAAAAATGTAATATACTTTAATTTGAAGATAAAAAATTTTACCTCTGGATTTGTCCTTGTGGTGAAAATGACTAACGTATTTAAAAATATGCTATTTTTGTGTTAAAATTCTGGGTTTTGTATTTTGTTTTATTTTAAAATACCTGACAAAGGGAGTACACAGATTTTCACCATAAACATAACATTCAACATAAAAAAAAAATGTTCTCCTGAAATAGATTTTTTTATGGTGATTTAATTATTTTAAACAAATTATTTGAGATACGATAAAATGGTTCATACGAAAGTTGTACTAAATTTAATTTCCTTAAAAAAATAATTTTAATTTAAGTCCATTGGCCATTATGTTAAAACAAGTTGTCAAATATCTCCAAATAAAATAGGACGATACCTTGTTATCGAAATCTTTATGCTAATATGCTAGATGTGAAGTGGGAAATTGCTTTTATGGCTTATTCTATTGATAATATCTTAGTTGTCAGTTACATTTCAATTGTATACACTATTTTTTAAATTTTTATACTTGTATTTATGTGTGCTTAATTAATTTCAGCCATTCTTAATAATTGCTACAAAACTTGGAATAAATATTTATTTAGTGGGGAATGAATCAAATCAAATAACTGGTGGTAAATTACCATCTAATAGACAAGTACTGTTAGTTTTTTTTTTGTAATTTATGGGTTGTGAAATTAAATATGCGTTAAAGTGCACATTTGGCTATAAAAGAAACGATAATTTTTTGGAAAAAAGCAAGAATTCCTGTAAGGGACTTTCAACATTGTGTAGTCAAATAAGAAAATGTTTATCAAAAATGGAGATCAGTTCAAAAAAATCATAAATCTAGAACAAAATGGCAAGTTAGTTTAGAAAATCAGTTTACAAACTTTGGACAATTTATTTGATATAGCACGCAGATGCTATTAATATAATACGTAATTAATTTTGGTCAAAACCATTTTCTTAAAATAAAATACTATCTACAGATTTGCATCGAAGCGTTTATTATGATAGTGATTTTAATCACTGTCAGATATCATTTATACTAGTCCCAAAATGCCACGCTCATAATGTACCGCGACCCCACTGTGTTACCGTTTTTTTTTTTAATGGAAAAAGTAGCATTTTTTTTAATAAAAATACTGTTTGAACATAAATTAACCTAAATTTTCAAGGTTAATACTAGACCTTGTACCTTTAAATTTGTTTTTTGAAACCGGAATTTCAATTTTTAAAAACTTAAACTATAATGAATTGTAACAATTCAATTGCTCAAAATTTGAAAAAATTTTCAATTTTAGATTATCTTTTTTAGTGCAAAAATAATTAACTGTTGTATAAATAAGTATAGAAATTAAACATTTTTAATTGTCTGAAAAATGTTAAATATTACAGGTGTTTAAATCAGTGTTATTTAATCTGTTACTATTGAAGAAAATGTTTCACTAATTCCTATCAATTAAATATGTTTTTTTAGATTAGACAGTGATTAGTCCTTTTTATTTGTCACCCTCTTTAACATTAATTTAGTATCATTCACAGTTAAATAAAAATTAATTTTTTGGAAAAAATATAAAGTGAATAATCTGCCTAATTATTAAAAAAAAATTAATTTTTAAAAATCAACACTTTTTTATTAATAAAATAGTTAAGATAGTTTAGTAACTATACTCCTGCCAATAACTGTACATACATATATTACCCTATTTTGTTATTTGTTGATTACTGTTAATACAAACCACGTAATCGAATTTTATACTATTAGTTACCAAAATTACTCTTATCATTTATCACATTTACACGTTATTACTGGATTATAGATAATATTATTTATCTTAAAATTTACACGTTATTCTATATTTTCAATATTCCGGCATAGAGTTGATGTGTGTATACAATATCGATGACGAATTTAAGATCTAGCCTTGTTATTGTGTATATTTAATTGATTTAACTTGTCTTAATTTCCAGTTTAATTTGTACTGTTAATTTAGTCTAATTTTGTTAAACTATATTAATTTATTATACTGGTTAAACTTTACTAGTACTTTTTTTTTTTAATGAATAGTAGTCATTTCACTCGTAAATTTTTGAATACCTATTAAAATGAAAGTTTTTTTTAATGAATTATTATTTACTTTGATGTTATCGTCTATGGTAACCCTGGTTTATGGAATAAGATGGCACATGAAGCCAAATACTGAAAAATGCCTTAAAGAAGAACTCAGACAAAATGTTTTGGTAAAGGGCGAATATGAAGTGGCACCAGTTGAAGGCCAAAAGATTGATTATATAGTACGTTTATCTAGAAATATTTTTTATGAAAATAAATTTGAAAAAGTTTTTATAATTAAAAATACTTTTATTTCATTGTAAAAATATTACTTATTAACTTTTTTGATCAATTAAAAATGTATAAAATTATTTCACCATTCAAATTTAAAGATTACAAGATTTTGTAGTTTTTCTGATAATGATTTAATTATTTTGTTATTTATATTGTATATTAATCATGGGTGCAACTAAGGGAAAGTTTTGGCTACTTATCACCCCCAAGCAGATTTCACCATTGTTTTATAATTTTGCAGGAAAAACTAGATATTATTGTATAAATACTTTTTTTTTTATATATTGTCTTTTAATAATATAAGTGTGCAATGTTTTTTTTCCCTACCATTGTAATATTTCAGCAGTTATAGTTGAAATATTACAGTGGTAGGAAAAAAATGTATGTATAAAAATGCTATTCATAATTATTTATTTATAAATAATAAAAAGAAGGTTGGATAAATCATTTTGAGCAGTGTGAAATAATTGTTTTTGATCTTTAGAACTTAAGTACCCCAAGTTTCAAGTACTAACTGCGCCAATGGTATTAATTTAGTATGTCATGTAATGAAAATTCTATTTTTTAATATTTTTATTTATGTCCATTATTTAGGTTAGAGATTCAAAAAATCATATATTATCACAAAAAGAAGATATTACTACAGGCAAATTTACTTTCAGTGTTGAAAACTATGATATGTTTGAAATATGTTTTATTTCTAAAGTAACAGGCAGTAAGTATTGGGTTAAGACAAATTAAATATTCAAATTAATGAAGTTATAAGCGTAGGCTCAAATGAAGTAATATTGGAATAATATTAGTACTCTAAGCATATTTGGCCATTTTTTATAATTTTGTTAGGAAAAATAAAATAATTCTTATATTATTGTATAATTCATACTATTTTTGAATTCTTGTAATTTAATATTGTAAGTGTGCAATGTCATTGATGTAATATGATATAATGTAATATTGATGTAATATTTTACTCCAACAAATAATATGTGTTGGTTTCAAAAATTATTTAATTATAGTTAAAATGCTTCAGCGATAAGAAAAAAATATATTTATATAATGTTATACATTGTTTATTTACAAATAAAAAAAATTTGGGTATAGGCACTGTGCATTTGGGATAATATTATGCTCTTACTATGACCGTAACTAGTATGATCAGAGTCTACGACATTTTATAGGAATATCTTACAAATACATCTGTAGCTCAAAAATAAGCTAACTTATCAAAAAAAATAAAAAGATCAGTGACAATAAGCGAGGACGTGAAGGAAAGGTGGAAAATTTTAAATATTTAGTACCAGAGAATAAGTGTAGCAGAGATGAGAATGCTTAGTTGGATGAGTGGAGTGACTAGAGAAGATAGGATAAGGAACAAATATATAAGAATGAGTATAGGTGTAGCGTCAATCGTGGATAAAATGAAAGAAAATTGTCTAAAATGGTTTGGTTATGTTATGAAAAGAGAGGAATCGGAAGCTGTAAGAACAATTATGGGAATAAATTTTGAAGAAAGAAGACATAGAGGAAGATCAAAAATGTGATGAAGTGATGTTAATAATCCGATATTAGGAAGACTAATGTGTGTGTAAATGATGTGTGAGATCGTCTCTAATAGAAGTTTTAGATAAGAGTGGCCAACCCCAAGTAGTTGAGATAAAGGCCAGGAAAAAAGAATAAGAGGATGAAACATGAAAAAATGTTAAATATTTATACCAATTTTTAATTTCATATTTTTCTCGAGGTTTTTTATCTCTGTAAGAATATTTATTAAGCATATATGCAATTTAATTTTTTCTTGCTCGTTAAAAATGCCATTTAACTTTTTTTGATCGTTAAGCATATATTTTCAGATAAGGTTGGCATTAATGACTAACCAGGATATTGTAAAGATTGGAAATTCCTGATGTTTTACAGGTTTTATTTAAATATCATGTAAAAAAGCACCTACTTGATCATTTTTTGCTCAGGGAAATAACTTCTAGGTGAAATAACTTTTAACTCTTTTTAGTTAAAAAAAAAAATTATTGATGATTTTTATTTTGCTAAACTGTAATATCTCTCTTTCCATTTTCATATTTAGTTTCTTTCTTGGAACTGCAATTAATATTCAAAAAATTATCTTATGTTCCAAGTAATTTTTTAGAGTATGTTTAAAAAATTAAAGATTTTCATTTTTAAACACTTTAAACTTGAAACATCATTTTACTAATTAAACATTAAATCGTGTTTTGCATAAAGAATAGCTTAAAATTTTTAACTATTTGTTATGTTCACAATGTTGATACAGAAAAATTACTAAGCGTGATCCGATTTTATATAGAAATGGTTTAATTTTAATTCACTGAAAACTAAGTTTCAAGTGTTTTTCAATTGAAAAATATCTTGGGCAGTAAATGATTTTATTATAGTATTATAACAGAGATCAGACTTTTAATTTATTGAAGAATTAGCTGTTATATGTATTATATTATGGAAGTTCATGTTTAATTATTGGAAAAAAATGAAAGAAAATTATAGAAGTTTCCCCAAGCAAAGCCTAGTTTCTTTACTATATATATTTCATTTTCAGTTCACTTTTATTTAATATTACATGTTCCTTAATATAATAAAAATAAATTAATGTTGACTATTATACTGCTATTTTATTATCGTTGAAAGTAAATTTAATTAGCAGGGTGTTACTAATTTTTTGAAATATAATAAATCTTAATTTTCTTTCAGATCATAGAGGTTTTGTGCAAGAAGTTTATTTAGATATTAAAACTGGCGTCGAAGCAAAAAATTATGAAGGGGTAATTTATATTACTCTTGATCTATTTAATCGAATGGCCTATGCTACAATTTAAAAAAAAAATATTAATGTTTTTGAAAACATTTGTTATTTATGGGCCTCAGAAACAATGTAGACATAGAATAAACAGTTTGTGCTTTCTCCCTCACTCTAACTATTTTATCCTTTGATTTCTCACTTTTAAATTCTACCCATAAGTTTATACATGTACTCAGTGGCGGCTCATGGATGTGACTTAAAATATAATACCACTAGTTAGAGGTGTAAAAAATTGTCAAATCAAATATAATAAAATAAAACAGATATTATTTTAAAGGTTTCAGTAGAAAATAGAAATGAAAATAATAATAGTGATTATACTATTATAGCAAAAAATAAATTATCCAATATAGTAATATACTAATATCTTACTGTATGGACGACACTGCCGGTCGTCCAAAACCCTTACATAAGATCACAGCTGAACCATATCCGCACGCACAGGATTGTTGTGCCTCGCTAATAGTATACATTTCTGCATGTTGTTCAGACGACGCTCCTGGTCGTCCAAACACTGTTCATGTGTACATGCATACCTGCAAATACTGAGGGAAATAACTTTAATGTTCGTTCACGACAAATTTATTATAGCTATTTTACTATTTAAAAGTTTTTATTTTTAATAAAAATGTAGAATTAAGAATATACAATTAATTGTGTTCTTTTAATTATTTTAGTAGGTGCGATCAAACCAAACCATGGGCCGCCACTGCATATACTCCAATCCTCTTATTTTAAAATAGATTATTTAACCAGTGGCATATTTAAAAAAATTTTTATGAGGAGGGTCTAGATAGTATTTAGAACTTTAATTATTGAAAAGCTATACCTCTCCACTATCTTTATATGATATCATGTCTATGGGGTTTGGACCCCCCAATAAATATGCCATTCTATTAAATTAAAAATATTTTTAATGTGTCAAAAATTAGGTTTAAACTCCGCTGAGAAAAAGATAATAAGAGTTTATTATTAATTTTAGATTGCTGAAGCTTCAAAACTGAAACCTCTTGAACTAGACTTGAAACGTCTTGAAGATATGTCACAATCTATAGTACTTGATTTTGAAGACATGAAAAAACGAGCTGATGAAATGCGTAATACCAATGGTATTTTTTTTCCTTTTATTTTATTTTAATAGTTTATTTTCACTGTAATTTTTATTTCTTAGAATCTACTAACAAAAGAGTATTTTATTTTGGAATGTTGAGTATGATATGCTTAATTGGTTTTGCAACATGGCAAATATTTTATTTAAAAAGATATTTTAAAGCAAAGAGACTGATTGAATAATCGAAAATTTGTAATTTGTTATTGGCCAGTTTGGCAGCAACATCAAGTAAAAAGCTTATTCATTATTCTATCCCACCTAAAAATTATTAAAAATGTTGTATTATTTGTTATTTAATTTATTGTACATCATAAAATTTAATATTAAAATCTAGTTCTTATAAAAAATGTTTAAATTTAGAATAGTCTTGAAATTTTACTGTCATTATATTGTTTAAGGTATCTCAGTTATCAATTCATCGATAGTAAATATTTGAAATAATTATTTTTATACATAATTAAAATATATTAAATAATATATTTATAATCCTTCAACAAGATAAAAGTAATCCATTCACTATTTGTAGGTTGAAAATAAACGGGTTTTATATTTTCATACTACAACGACAGCAAAAATCTTAATTTTTAGTTAGCATATTATTAATATTTATATATAAGTGGAACACATTTAACTGACAACTTTTGTTACTTTTGATCTAATAATAATTTCACTGTATTTCTTTTTTATGATTATTTAGTTTTAATAATAAACATTTTTTTCAAAATTTCAAAATAGTTTATTGTTTAGAGCTTTACTTACCAAAATATTTGATAGGTCAACCACAGCTTTAACATCTTTGGATAAGTATTTATTGAGATACAAGCATTTGAATACATAGTATGGGTATGTTACATGGGTCAAGTATGAATTATAAATATGTATTAGTACTTGTACTCGCGTTCATATTTCATCGCATACAACTTAATAAGTACTTGTCTTAAAGTTTTTTATCAACTAATAAACATTTTTTGTAAGAAAAACTCTAAAAGAATAGGCTATTTTAAAAGGTTAAAAAAAATTTTAATTAAAAAATATCTTTATTTTTCTTTTTAACTAATAAAAAAGAATAGTAAATTATGCTTTTAAAATAGTATAAGAATTCAAAAACTATTAATAAATAAAATTACAGCAAAATTAATTATAACAACAATTTAAAAATTTATTTTATGTAGTTATTGTATATTATTATTGATTTTAAATCAACATAAATAGTTACCTATTATTATTATTATAGATATAGATAATAAACTGTTTATTTTCTATACCTACAGTTATTATATTTATATTATAAAGAATCTATTGCATTATGTATTCAGCATAAACTAAAAAATGTCTAAATTAAATTTATATAATTATATTTTAATACTGTATGTCTACTCAAAACTTAACAAACTTTTTTTAAGTTTACGTGAAAATTTCTATATATTGTATATATTTAAATACTTTCAAAAAATGTTGGAATAAAAATAAAAAATGCTCGTTTTCATTGATTTTTTGCTTATATATAATATTAATTCATTTTAATTACAAATATGACCTTATTTTTTAAACCACATGGGTGAACTTTATATTAAAATACTAATAGTCAGAAACAATGTTAATAATTTTATAATGATCACATTCTCTTGTACTATAAATCATAAAGTATCATTTTTCATTTGAGCAACAATGCTTAAATAACATTTATTTTAAAAACATATTAATTTGGCTTCAGATGGATTTTGTTCCATAGGACAATAAGGACATTTTAATCTAAAAAAATCACAATGTTTTTAGTGAATTTTGTTTATTAGTAATGTAATAAATAATCAATCTATACTTTGTAGAATTTCCTAATTTATGCAATGCATCTTTTGATATGACATGACCACAAATAAGTCTCATTGGTGGATTATTATCAGAACTTTGTTGCCTAAGAATAGGACATGCAAACATTGAGTGATATCTATGCTCAGAGTCTAAATCAATTTCAATCTAGAAAAAAAAAATGAATTCTTAATACAAATTACTGTAAATTACAATAAATACTTACTGGTAACTCATCTTTTCCACTCCAAATACCTGTTACTTGTCGTTGTTGCATTACTTGTTTTATGTTCAGAAGAGCAGGCAATGCCATACATCCAGCATTTATGCTATTAAAAAAAATATCATCAGCATATTTACTCAGAATTTATTTTCAGTTTATTCTATTTTAGTTTAATATTACCTGACATTAAGTAAACTTTCAACACTTAAGCCAAGTAACATACAAGCATCTCTAGTAAATAATTCATTTACTTCAGTCCACATATTATTTTGTATCATGAATGAATATGGTGACTGATTAATTCCTTGAGGTACAAATAAAAGCATACCCATCATTTGTTGAATATCTAAAAATACAAAATATATTTGAATAGAACAATGTTTTTTATATTAAACTGGATTCTAATAAAATATTATTAGATATTGAAACGTAAATATTCAATGATGTCAAACCTATAACTTTGATTATTTTACCTATAATTAAAATTTGTTTTGTTCATAACTAAAAATGATTATAGAAAACTTATATATAAATAACGCACTGTTAAAAAAAAAAAAATGTAAGAATATTTTTTTGATGGACCCAAAGTAGCCCAATTTTTTTTTCACTTTAAAAATATAAAAAATGTTTCACATTTTTTGAGGAATTTTATTCTGTAATATGGCGAATAGAATAGTTGCAAATAAGCTCTAGTGTCGAGCCATACCTGCCACTATAATAAGATGGGTGACCTACGGTAATTTTTATAGTAGCAAAAATTAACATCCCTCAGTGAAGTAGTTAATGTGAAACTACTACATTTAACTTTCTATCTAGTATATACAAGTTCAACTGTAGTAAGTTAGTGTCAAACCAACATTCTTGTTAAAACTGAAAAAATAGGAATTCAGGAAGATAAGTCTACCCACTCCTCATGGATATGCCAAAACCATAACATTTCATAAAGTGAAATGTGCATTATTATTTGCCAAGAAGACTTAATTCATTTAGTTCGATGTATGATATACATTTATATACAGTCCACGACAAAAAGATAAAGGCACAACATTTAATCAAATAAAATTCTATATTTATACATATATGGATTCTATGTACTACCAAACTTCAGGTTATACCCAAATGATAGCAATCTTATCTTATTTCTTGATCATAAATNTCAAATGATAGCAAACTTATCTTATTTCTTGATCATAAATTAATAAATGAAGTCTTATCGATGAATTTATTAGATTTTGTTGCGACAAAATTATAAAGGCAAATATTTATATATAAACAAACTATTTTATATTACAAAATTTATTACATTTATTAATTTTCTTATTGTATTAATATTTAGTTGAACCTCCATTAGCACGAATAGTTGCAAAAATTCCATTTGGAATGGTGTCATAAAGTTTTTTTATGATGTTTTGGGAAATTAGTGTCCAAGCATCTAAAAAATTGATTTTTCTAACTTACGAACTGATGAATATTGTTTGGCATCTTTATAAACTTCATTGGCGAGTAGCCCCCAAACATTTTCAATTATATTTAGATCTGGAGATCGTGCAGGCCAATCTAATATTGGTATAGAATTTGTTTCAAACCATAATTTTATGATTCGAGCAGTATGAATTGGCGCATTATCCTGCTGAAATATAAAATTTCTTCCGCCTATTTTCTGAAAACATGACTTTTGGGTGTTAAGGAGATCTTTATACTTCAAAACATTTATTCTACCATCTAAAAAAACAACTTCACTTCGTCCTTTATAATCAATTGCACACCAAATCATTGCAGATTCTCCTCCCATTTGACGTTTTGACATTATAGTTCATCTTTTCTTAAATCATGATAGTAATACAAAAATCCATCAGGTCCATCCAAGTTAAATTTTTTTTCATCTGATAAAATTACTTTTCTCCATCTTTTTGACCAATTCATTTTGTTTCTTGAAAAGTCTAATCTTACTTGTTCATTACGTTCATTTAATGGTGGTTTTCGTAATAGTTTTTTTCGGATGAGTGTCGGTGTGCTTTTTAATAGCCTTTGTACGTTACGAATACCAGTTTTCACACTACATTGATTGAGAATACCACGTGCAGACAAAGCAGAATTCGATGCAACTCTTAAAATTGCTCTTTTTTCACGATCAGTTAATACTTGCGGTCGACCTGTAGACTTCTTGGAATTATAGTTTTGGCTAAGTTTTACAAAATTATCTATCATTGTAGAACTCCTTTTCAATCTACGCGATATTTCCCGATTTGAAAGACCGCATTCCTTATATGCCATAATTTTCCCTCGTTCTTCCATAGATAGTGGTTTTGCATTTCCCATAATAAATTACATAAATAATAAAAATACTACAAAAATTATGTTAATACAGTATATAAATTTAGGTTGTATTACGTATATTACAAGTATTATATAAAGATAATTTAATCATACTATTACTATATACGCAACGAAACTGACTGCCTTTATAATTTTGTCGCAACAAAATCTAATAAATTCATCGATAAGACTTCACTTATTAATTTATGATCAAGAAATAATATAAGATTGCTATCATTTGGGTATAACCTGAAGTTTGGTAGTACATAGAATCCATATATGTATAAATATAGAATTTTATTTGATTAAATGTTGTGCCTTTATCTTTTTGTCGTGGACTGTATATATATATTTATTATATTAAAAATTAAACAAATCCAAGCTAAAAATGAGTTTTAAATCAATTGAAAAATCATATACCTTTTTCATGTTTATCAATAAATTGACCAAAATTTGCTCGAGCATATGCAACAGCTTTTGTTTGATAATCAACTCCTTTTTGAACAAGTGTCAGAAAAGCAAGCTGATGAAGTTTAAATTCAAGTGAAGAACTCTGGAATAAAAAATATTTAATTACAAATTTTTAGTAATAGATGTTTATAAATAATTATTTTATTAAATCTTAAAAAAATATTTTATAAAATTATCAACAGTGTACTTCTATTTTAATTTTACAAATAAATTGAAATTTATATATTTATTTATTAAGTAGAAATTACACCATAAAAAGAATTTATAACAAATATTATTTAAGAAATTTTTCAATCTATTAAAAGAAAATCTTAAAATTTTAGTCATTAAATTTTATATACTTTAATAAGTATTCTTTTAAGAATAATAAACAATTATTATTATTAAGAAAATAAAAGTAAAAATCAGTTTTACTAACGTAAAACATTTTGTTATATAACGTTTGCACCTTAAAATATTTATTTATTAAAAATCCAGACTGACCAATTAAAAATTGACAAAACAATTACTTTAAGATCAAATGATAACATTATTTTCCATAATATTAAGAAGTGCCTGTACCGTAAATTGAATCTCATTTTTTTTTTAATTATTAATTTTAACAAGTTGAAAAATAAATTTTATTGCTGAATAATTAAGATTATTATTTTGTTTTATAAATAAAATATTCAGATAATTGGATGGAAATAAATAATGTATTTTTGATAATTACAACAAGTTATCATTAACAATATTAATTAATAATTGATTGAATAATAATAATAATGATAACTTGTGGATACTTAAATTTATTAATTTGATATACACAAAAATGTTTTTATAAAAAGCATATGCACATTAAATAAATAAAATATTGGCATTTCTTTTTTTTTTTTTTTTTTTAATATAGCATTCATTTAATGCTAAAGCATTTTATACATGCACAAACACCCAATTTTTCATTTATTTATAGAATGAAAATTGAACACATTTTTTCAAGTAAATTAAAAAAAAAACAAATGCATCATACACAGAAACATAAAATATTTACATATATCCAATACTGTTAAAGTGATTAATTTATAATTAAACAAATTATTTATATCAAATAAATAAGAAACCTTTATTCAGTAACCTTAATTACAGTACATACCTAACATGCACATTTTCAATTGTGCATTATAAAACAATTATTATTAAGTTTTAATTATCATTTCCTATGTAAAAAAATTGTTCTAGGGAATCATAATATCATAACCTGCTGTATAGAATAAATAATATACCGCATGAGTCAAGGTCATCAAAATATATAATATAAAAATGTACTTTGCTGCCAGCATGAAAGATTCTTTCCAGTCTTTAAGGACCTACCTTATAAAACTGTTGTAATATTTTTCTGGCCAATTCAATTCTCTTGACTTTTTTCGTCTTCGGTCTCGGTTTCATTATGCCACCATTAAACTTGGTCCGTTTTGCATGATAAGGGATCCGAATAGGCAAATGAGAAGTAGACGAAACCCTCCTAACCAAGGGGTATGGAGGATACATCTATTTCGAATGTAGAAAAAATAAGTTTAGGTATTGGTAAAAGTTAACTAACAAAGAAAAATTTTATTAACTAAAAGAAAACTGCAAATTAATAGAGTAACCCCATTTTTTTTTTTTATTAAAATTTAAAATATATTTTAAAAATGTATTAAGTAGCAAAGAAATATAATTTTGCTGTAAAATTATAATATTCATGTTTTACCTTAAGTGTAAAAGTAATTATCATATTATTCACCCTATCTTTCAACTAATAAGGTTTTACACTAGTTTTCTATTTTTTTTTTTAATTTAGTTAATTTTTACAATCAACTAGACTTTTTTTTTATGACAAACTACATGGTGAAAAAGATGTGCTATTTATTTCAATTAAAATTACCATACATTTACTCTTTATATATGAATAACACAGCTTAGTATCAGTTTCTTATCTGTAATACTACAACCCCCATTTAACTAAAAATAATACCAGTAAAGTATGTACAATAAAATATAGTTATTACTCAGATTATATGATATATTAATCAATAAACATTTATTTTATTAAACAAATTTTAAGATATTTAGAATTTAAAATATTAAATTACAATATATATCTTTAAAATAGAATTAAAAAATATAATAACTTTCTATATCATAAAAGATTCCACACCTACCTTTTTTTAACTTTCAAAACATAAACAACTGAATTGTCTTTTATAAGTTTAAGCTTTTGGTTAATGTTAAAAATATATTTAATTGGTTTTATTGTATTTAATTAAAAATATGTTACAACAAATATTATCCAAATTAATTAATTATATTTTATTAAAAATATTTTGATGTCTACCTTAAAATAATACTATTTAGTAATGTTTCAATAAATAATTGAGTGTTGTGCAATGTATTTTTTTAGTTTTTAATGAGTTTTTTGTAAATAGGAAAAAATGTCTGTATATTTCTATGAAATTTCTATATAAGAAAAATTTTATTAAATAAATTATAATGAGCTACACATTAAGAATTTTTATATAAATTCTAGTAGAATATAATCAATTAAAATTTATCATTTAATATGTAAAAATTTATAAATTTATTATTAATTTTGTGCTATTATAAGAGTTATTCTACTTATAATCAACATGGCTTTTAATCTTGCATTTTTAAATTTTGTTTAATTTATTTATTGTTGTTGTTGCTTTAGACACAAGAGTATGATAAAAATTGAAAAAAAAAAAATGTTTTCTGGTCGACCAGTTTCATAGCTATTACACTGTAAAGAGAGCATAGGAAAAACTATATGGTAACTATTAAAAATGAGTTAAGAAAGCTTAGTTTTCACTGTTATCTTTATAATTATATCTATTTTCCGAAAAATAAAAAAAAAGCCTTTTAAATTATTTAATTTTATAAAACTTTGAACTTTTATAATAAAAAAAATCGCCATAATTTAAATTTTTTAAAAAATACCACATTTTGGAATACACACAATAAATAATTGACCAAATTTTTGAGATAGTGTTTTAATAACAAAAGAGATATTTTTATTTAAAGTAAAGAAAGTAGTATATTAAAAAAAAAAAAATATATATATATATATAATTTTTATTACATTTTCAACTTTATTTACATTTAATTGAAATAATTCTATTTATTCGAAACATAATTTGAAAGTAGAAAAACTATACACTAGTAAAAAGAACTATAAAGAATTGCAATAATATTTATATAAATAATCAATATTTTATTTCATAATTTTTTTGAATTGTTGATGTTTTAACTGAATTTTCAACTTTATTTGTTTTACCAGCGAATTTTAATAATTTTTTTTTTAATTCTTATTACTCTTATAAAAAAAAATATTACTGTCAGAAAAAAGTTAACAACAGATTTAATTGAACATAAGAATAATTTGTATGAATAATATAATTTTTCACTATGATTCTATTGAGCAATTGGCTAACAAAATAGATAGTTATTTTATTGGCACTGTTAATGATGATTTTGGATGATTTGTCAAGACCTTGGCCATAACTATAATTATTAGTTTTTAAATTTATACACCATCTTTAACTACATATGACAATCAAATTGTGAAAATTTGGTGATGATTAAATAATTTCAGACATATCCAATTATCATTTTTTATAGGAATATATAATCCAATTAATTTTACACTAAAGTATTAGCATATTAAAAAGCTACTACTGAATGCTTTGCGGAACAGCAAATCATCTACACACAGATTAATTTGGAAAATAGTTAATATTTTGACCTAAATGGATTTTTTGTAAACTTATTGTAATTTAACTAATTTTTTAAAATCTTTACTTAAAAATTATATATTCTTTGATTTAAATTTTCTTAACAATAAGTTAAATTATGTGTCATACAAAAATTAAACAATCTATACAAAATTCTGATAATGCTCTTAAATAACTTGAATGTAACATAATGATATTGGGTTAGATAAAGATTTTTTTTTAAATCGTGTACTCAAGTGAGGTACATTATGACAAGATAAATAAAATTATAAATAATCTTAAGCAGAACTTATATATTCATACATTAAAAAACACATAATTAAGCATGCAAATATGCATTAAAAACTAGCAAAATATCTACCTAATATTCACAAAGTTTTTAAAAATACATTAAAAATAAAAAAACATCCCCTTAAAATAAGTATCAAGAAATTTCAAAAATATACATATTGATCACTAACAGCAAGTTTTAAAAAAGTTATGAAATACGCATTAAAAATTAAAAATCATGCATGTATCTGGGTCCTGGTTAAGATTTTTAGAAAAATAATGTTCAATAAGTATTTAAAGTCGTTTTACTATTAAAATATCTATGTTATCTTAAATAAATATATTTCAATATTTAAAACCTTTAAAATTTAAAAATAATAATTGTAGTATTGATAAGCAATATCAGAATGAATTTAAAAAAAGCATGCAAAAAGAATAGTGATATCATTTGTATATAAATTAAGAAGAAACACTTTTCAAATATTAAAATAAAGCAACATATTCATAACTTGACACTAAACCTTTTAAACAAAAAGTTTAGCTAAATCATTCAATAATTTATTCATGTATATTTATATATGATTAGTATTTAAATAACACATATATCGTACTGTCAATACTTTAGTGTAGTAAAATTTCTCAATTTTAAGTTATACATGATTTCTTATGGTAAAAATATGCCCTTTACAATAAAATAATGTATTATGTCATATCTAAAAATTGAATTCTAAATACTATTACCCATAACAGGAAATGATACGTAATTCATTTTATGTATTAGTATTTTATTTTGAGTTAATATGATAGTCATGTTTGGAATTGCTACACTTGAGTATTCACAAAGGGATATAACAATTATTTACATAAAAAAAAGAACTCAAGTATAATAATAATGTACTAAAAATAAGATAATATTCATATAAATTAATCTAAAAAAAACTAGTTAATATTTTTTACTAAAGGTTCTTATGGTCTTGCAACTCAAATCTCCTACTAATAGCCATATCAAACCTTAATAAGTACAAGGCTAAATGATCTAATTACTAGAAAATAATGTGTAAATCATTAGATTAGTTACAGTAAAAATTTTGTAATAAGACAATTAATATAAGTATACATGGAATGTATTGAGAGCATTATCACCTTTAACATAAATTCTATTCTGAAATTTTACCAAAACTAAAATATATTTTGTAATAATAATGCACCAAATTTGATTTAAAAGAAAGTATTTTAAACCACTCTAATGATAACCTAATTTTAAATTCAGTTATTAATTGAATTTTTCAAATTAAGTCCCAGCAACAAGGGCTGCTATAGAAAATAATTACAGTCTAATTATTATTAAAATTTACATTTAAATTTAATTTTAATAATTTTTTTTAAACCACAAGCTGTAAGAAATGAGTTAAAAAAATCACTTTTTCTTTTAAATTCAAAGCAAACAAATTTTATACACAAATGCACAAATTATAAATATAATATATGAAGACCTTTTTTTCAAAACTAATTATTTACCAAATAATTTAAATCAATCTTATAATTTTAAAGTTTTATCGTAATATATAGAGTAATTGGTTTATAATAAACCACTTGAATACTCGCAAAATAAATACAATATTGAAAAATAATTTGGTATTTTTAAGTTACATATATATTTTGATTTGTCAACTATTAATTACTTTTTAGAATCATCCCTTATAAATTATAGATGTGACAACTTTATTATCTTAAATGGCAACATACATAATTAACTAGGTTATTTAATAGATAATTATCTATGTAAATGACAGTTAGATAATATTTGGACTATTTTGGGGGTTATTAGCATTTGAAATATAGACTGAAGGTAAAACATAGTTGCAGCTATTTTTATCATTAGACATTTCTCCACTACATTCCTCCTCTTTCCAGATATAAAAATGAGAATAACTATCAAAATACTGGTCCAAAAGTTGTTATTAACCATTTAATTTTTTATAAGCTAGTTAAATATGTAATTAAAATTACTATTTTTATATAAATTTAATTGTAATTAATATTAGTGATAAGTGATTAATTTTTAACATATAAATATATAAGTTACCATTAAAAAAAAACGTTATCACCTCTTTAAGTAAGAAATAATTCAAGAAAAATATGTATCTAAAAAAAAACTATAACATTTTTTTTCAATATTGTATGTAATTTTGCGAGTTATCAAATGGTTTAAGATAAAAAAAATCACTGTATAAAGCCTTGAAAATAATTTCAATAACTTATTATTTATCTACTAAATATGTAATTAACATATAGATTTATTTCTAAAACTTATTGTCTTTTATCAAAATTGGTAAGTAAGATTCTAGTTTTTGGCAAATAATTTTGTTTACAGATAAGATTTATATATATATATATCTAAACTGACAAAATAGTTAAAATAAGACATTTTTTACCTGCATCTCTAGTTGAGAACGATTTTCTTGAGCCCATTCTAATGCCGGAATAATATCTTTTTTTTTAAGCGACTCCAATATGTGATTTAACTTAGCAAATGGTTCTCTTTGTCCACATTCAACTTTTATACCAGCTTCCTTTAAATTAATATAATGCAAGTGGGTTTTAATTTTTTAACCTTACACTTAAATGACTAAAAATTCATTTTAATTTGTAAACTATATTATTCCTCTCTTAGGCGATGGACTAACCACCTGTTCCAAGAGATCCATGGTTAAGAAATCTCCTTTTAAAAAGAGACCTCTGTGGTGGTTCTTAATAGGCTGCAAAACACTAAAAACTAAATAAAAAACTTTTCTTTAAAAGAATGAATGAATTAAAATAATAAATTTGAAAAGAAATATCATACATATTCTATGAAAAAATAAATAAAATATATATAATTGAACTTGTTCTCTTGCAAAAGTATTTTTTGAGATAAACTCCGGATCAAAGAAGGTATTTGACAAGGGATTTCAAATACAAAGTAATTTATGAAAATATTCAGTAGAACTAAGTAATACATAGAACTTGAAAATACAATAAATTGTTAAAATTCTGTTTAATTTTTGCAATTGTAAATAATAGAAAATATTTACAGTCAAAACTAGAAAATAAATAAACAAATTTCTAAGATTTTTTGAGAAAGGATATTTTTAGTTTTTCTTTGATATAACTTCAAACAGAACATTTAAGAAATAATAATGTTTAATAAATAAATATAAAATATTTTATGCTTATTTATCTTTTAATTTATATGAATAACTAACTTTTGATAGTTCATCAGCAATATCCCACATTCCTTGCCTATAAAAATGTTGACTTATGATATGATTAACTAAATCAGTCTTTTTTTGACTGGAAAAAACATCTTCTCTGCTGGTTGCAGCAAAATCTGATATGAAGTTCTTAAAAAATGTGTGAATAATAATTTTTAAAATTATAATACACATTATTAAAAAACTCTAACAATCAAAATTTATAATTACTCGATCAATTGCTTTTCCTACTTTTGACACAGTACTATGTAATTCTCTATGTTCTGTTGCTAATTTTTGTGTTTCTTTTTTAGATTTATCAATGTATCCTTTTAAAAGTACAAGTTTTGATTGATTAGATTTTAATTCTATAACACAAAATATTAAATTAATAAAAAAAAAATTGTACAATTTCATTTAAAGAAAAAATGACTATAGAATATCAATAAAAGTATTGGGGTCATCATTTTCTCAATAAATATTTTTAAAGAAAGCTAGTAACATAGGGCTACCAGATGTTCAAAGTGAAAAATACGGACATATCAAAACCTACCCCCCCCCCCCCCNTAACATAGGGCTACCAGATGTTCAAAGTGAAAAATACGGACATATCAAAACCTACCCCCCCCCCTATTGATAATTGGAAAATAAAAAATTTTTTTTTTAATTTTCAAAAAGTAGAGAAATAATCAAATTTAAAAAAATATTTTAATTTGTTTGCGTGATAGGTGATGCGCATTTATGAAAATTAATGAGAATCGATAAAAATTAATTGTTATCAATAGGAATCGATGATCGATAATCTAGATTGACATTTTACTTGATTTTACGACTTACGAATAACTTATTTTATCAATTTTCAATAAATTATAAGTCACATACATATTCATTCTGCAATTGGTTTTATTGTCTGAATAATTATATTATAATGAACATCTCAAGTATTCGCAATACAACTGCATGCTTACACAGTAGTTATATTAAAAGCTAGTTATTCCAGTGCCGTATGATGGCATGGTTGATCACTACTCAAACTTATAGTCTGCCTGATTCTGCCCATTTTTACATATATTTTCTCTCTCTTTCTCGCCTCTCAGAGCAAAATAAGAGAGAATGTGACAGAATTCTCCAATTACTCGCCACTTCACGTAATTTTTTCATGCACTTAACTTTTTGATCTTTTCATGAAAAATATAGACTTGTCCGTATAAATACGGACGTCTGATAGCCCTATAGTACAATATCTGAATACTTTAATTTGATGTTGTAAAAAAGTAATTTTATTAACTAATATGATTGAGAAATTATAGAATTAAGCAAATTCACAATAATAAATAGTATTTAAACTTTGGTTATCAATTACATGTAAAAAAAAGTATTTAATAATGCAATCACTCATAAGGAATTTAAAAAATTTCAATTAAAATCTCTTATTTCCCAATATTTCTCAAGTTTTCAAAAGTATTTAAAAACACTGTGCCTTTTTTATATTTGTAGTAACCATACCAAATTTCATATATAATCATAACTTGGAACTTTGTTAAGAAAGTATTTATACATAAGTAATATATTTATATTATTGTTCAATACAAATTGTTTTCAGAAAATTTTGCATCTTTTGAACATATATTATGTGTTTTATCATATCCTATCATAAAAAATTTATAAAAACAATTGTCCTAACAACTTCTTGTCTTCTATAAGTTAACACATCTCTAACCAAGATCAGTATAATCAAACTTTTTATCTATTCCAGTGATGATATCACACTATTATAATATAATAAAATCAATCCATAAATCCCTACTAAAAATTAAATACGATCTACAGATTTGCATTTAATTTTTTATTCTTTATGATAAAATGAACTTTTCTAAATAATTTATCATCTATCACAACTATCAGGGCTTAAATCTGCCTAATGATTTGAACAATTTTTTTACTGGTCTTCAATCTGATGGAACTTCATTACAGCTGAAAAAGGCCGTACAGGGGCAGGGTATATGTCATTGTTAAAGTTTTTATAAAACCCATCCAGAAATCAACAATGTAGTTGAATCAATGCTAAGGCAGACCATTGATTGAAGTAAACCCAGCTTCTCAACATAGGAATTCTTTTAATAATGTATACTAAATATTAGTCATTAAAGGGACAAGTATCTTATTAGTAGCCTCTCTATATACTATTATATAAAAGATTTAAGGAGCAAATTTTTTTGCTTTAGTTATTATTAAAAACTTATTTTACCTACTTGAATTTTTTAAATTAAATAACTTTTTTAAGTTTTTATTTTTTTAATTTAGAAAAAAAATTGTGTTTACATATATAGAATGAAAGACACAAAAATTATAAATACTAAATTTTATATGACAGTCTATTAATTTCTTTTCAACAGATAAGTATGAAAAATAAAATTACCATCATCAGTGTTACAAGAGAGCAAATCATTCCTTACACTCTCCAAGTTTTCTATGAGCTGTTGTAAAACTTTATCTACATGTTGACGAATTTGCCCAAATTTTGACAATACTTTATCAACTTCTCGATCAACGGCTAAACATGCATCCATCACTCTGTAACTCTTTCTTAAAGAAAAACAAACAACAATTTAACAATAAAAAATACTCGAGTACATATATATATATTAAAATCGAGATGAAAAGAATTATTTAATCGACATACACACACACATTAATTTTGACATTATTAATTACGATTTTTTTTTTATGCCTCTTTCAAAAACAAAAGAAAACAATTCACAAAAAAACGATATATATAATCATTGGGTCATAGTCTGCACTATATCTAAATAGTTTATACTTATAGTAACATACGTACGCAATCACTACGCATTTCAGTCATGAAATGATAACACAATATTCAACTGTTCGACATGATAAGAACTATCGATAGATCATCTATTAAAAATCTGAAAAATCATCAAATAATTTTAATAGGCTAATGTGTAATAAATTTATATAAACTCCTTAGTGTGTTTTTAAAAATCTTGTGTTGTTTTAGAAAATATAATCTATGCTCAAATAAAAGATAATTGATGTCAAATCATTGAAAAAATCAACTTATTTTTATACACTTTTGTATGTATTAAACAAAATAAAATATAAAAGAAAAAAAGGCAGAGTGTTCGAAAAATAAGAAAACAGATAAATTGTTACACAAATGTGAATAGAACCCGTTTCCTTATATACTGAACATAAACCCTTCTATAATTAGGAGTTTAATGTGTGTAGAACAATCTAGCATTATTAATTTGAATTGAACGTTAAAAAAAAACCCAGCACAGTATCAAATTTATAAAAAATTTATAAAAAATTTCAAGTATTAAAAATTAGCCCTTTTTTAAATCTGTGATTTTTTGAAACTTTACTCATTTACGGGAACGAGGGAAATTTTTTTAATTTTTGAGGGTAATGTCTACGACTAGATACGATTTGTGATCGTTTGAAGTATCGTCGAAAGAAATCGGTTTGGTAAGAGCTGAGAAAAAGTGGTAACAGACACAAAAAAAAAACATCATAGTAATTTAATACTTTCCCATCAACTTTCATCGAAGCTAAAAAAGTACCTTACCTTCTTTAAAATTCTTGTTTATTACGTAGTTTTAAATTGATGTATGTCGTTTATAGTATACGCATTTATAAAATTTTCTTTATGGAAATTATGTCTGTTTTAACTTATTTATTTTATATTTTCTTATAATATTTAATTTTCACTAATAATACACCTAAGAAGTTCCCTATTGTCGATAATGATATTCTTATTCACTCTGAACTTGCAAAAAAAATATAAGAATATGATCAAAATATGGTAATTAACAAGAAGATTGTAATTACTCAATGTTTCTTAGCGTAAAGACTTGGCTGGTATGCAATTCTCACTGAGAATATGTTAACTTTGTTAATGTATGTAAAAATGATTACAAAACACATCTTAATATCCTTTAAATTAATTGCTTACGTAGTACCAAAAAAGTAAGGCAAAGCCTTACTACTGAGGGCGTAAGAGTAAATTTATGAAAAATTTTGAAGGACTAAATTACCTATTTTTTCTTTTATAAAAGTATATGTAAAATGTTTTTAATTTTACATAAGCTATGGAATTTTTTTGAAAGGGGGCAAATCCCCTACCTATGTCTATGACTGATTTGACACACACATAGGAAATTTTTAATTGTTTTCTATTGTACTTACTTAGATACTTTAGATACTGGGGTAGATAAAAAAAAGTCGATCATCGAAATTTTAACGATAACTATTTATTCTTATTAAATATACTAAAATATTCAATTTTGGGTCAAATATTATAATGAATATTATCTTAATAATTTATTTTTACTGTAGATTACAAAATATCTAGTTTTAAAATTGTAATCCCAAAATTAACAGTGTGAATATCACAATTAAATGGTATATTACTAGTACGGCTCAAGTAGACCTACATTTTTTTATGCAAATTGGATAATATTTAGTTATATTATAAATTAAAATTAAAAATTATAAAGAAATTGTTCACTGATCTTAAAAACTTACACCTTTAAAGCGTAAATTAAAGCGTAAGCTAAACGTTAACTGTTAAAGTAGACGATATTCTTGAAAATATCAATAAATGTTGGTTAATCATTAAACACTTTTCAAATATATATATTTTTAAATTAATAATTCGTTTATTTAAATATAATACAATTAATAATATAAATAGGAAAATAATTCATTTTATTTTTTATAATATTAAAACTGACTATTGTAATGCTTTTTTAATAACTTTTAATAAATATTGCCTTAGGTTCTCGTCAATTATTAAGCAAGTATTACATTTAAACATTAAATCTACCCCTCTTTTTTCTGGATTATTTACCACAAATATCGGTTCAACTTTGGTTTTCGCTAAATTATGATTTAAATTTTTATGTCATTTGTTGGGATTATTGTATAAAAAGATATCATTTATTTTTCAGTGTTTTCCGTGACAAATTGATTTATACCCTTCAATATCCTTTACTGTTAAAAAATGTATAAAAATATTATCAAATTTAGTATAATGTCAATATAATATCTGTCAGTTATTAACAGCAAAACTTTGTAAAGTCACAGGTTTACATGATTTAATAGTAATATATTGAACATTTTATAGTTTTATTAAAGTAATTTTTAACCATTATTTTATTTTCCTGAGTTATTATATATTAGTTAAATATTTAATTACACAAGATATTATATTAGTGTGTAATAAAATTAATTTCTAATATAATTATTTAAATATAATAAAATTGTTTAAAGCTAAAATTGTTCGGTAAGAGCTGAGAAAAAGTGGCAATACCCACAAAAAAATATATCATAATAAAATATATACTTGCTCAGCATTGCATCGAAGCTAAAAGTTGTTTTAACATACAATGGGATTTTTTATGTAATTAAACTTTGAATATTAAAAAATTCTACTTTGATTACTATTATAATAAATTCATAGGTATTAGGTAATTCTACCAGGGACGTAGAAATTCTATGTAGGGTGAAGCAACTTTTTTTACTGTGGTAATAATTAGATCTATTGAAACCTGAATAAAAAAAATCTTGAATTTTAATGTTAAACATAAAGGTAATTAAACGAGATTTTAATCAAATAAAAATCCAACCCAGCACAGGGAGTGGCGGCACAGTGGTGACGTGACATAGTTGGAAATTGAAAAAATTTCGAAAATTAGAGATTTTTAAATTTGTAATTTTTTTGGAGGTTTCCCCCATTTATGGGGAACGAGGGAAATTTTTTTTCAGTTTTTGAGGGTAATGTCTTCGACTAGATACGATTTGTGATCTGTTCGGTGAGAGCTTAGAAAAAGTGGTAACAGACTAACACAAAAAAAAATAACCAGAATACCTTCTCAGCTTCTCATCGAAGCTAAAATAATAAATGGGTTTATTTTATAATTATTTAAAGTTAAAAATGTTTCATTAATAAATATATTAAATATCTAACTAGCTAAAATATAGTATCGGATAAGAAAAACGGTACCACAGTGGGGCCGCGGCACAGTATGGACGTGGAATAGTTGGGACAAGTATAGATGATATCTGACAGTTATTAAAATCACTGTCATAAGAAACGCTTCAATGCAAATCTTTAGATAGTGTTTAATTCTAAGAAATTGGTAGATAGTTACAAAGCAACATCAACTTCTATTTCCTTAATTATCTTATATATATAAAATCTAATGTCAGATTTTTGTNATCCTATAATTAGTAGTTTTTAGATTTAAAAATATAATTTATGAATAAATATCTATTACCTTATTTTTCCTCGCCTTAATCCCAATTACTTGTGGTCGGCCACTCTTATCTAAAACTCCTATTAGAAACGATCTCCCACATCCTCTACACTCATATCAGATGTCCTCATATCGCATTCAATAACATCTCTCCATCTCTTTTGGTCTTCTTCTACCTCTTCTTCCTTCAACATTCATTTTCATAATTATTCTCAGTTTCCATTCTTCTCTTCTCATAACATGACCAAACCATCTAAGTCTATTTTCTCTCATCTTATCCATGATTGACGCTACACTTGTACTCCCTCTTATATGCACATTTCTTATCTTATCTTCTCTAGTCACTCCATTCATCCATTTATCCAAATATCAGCACCACAATACATTCCTCCATTCATTTGCAATTTTCCTTTCTAAAAAGATTTTATTTAAAAGTTCCTTCAACCATCTTTTGCCAACACCGCCTAATATTTTCCATACATCTACTGGCACTTCACCTGGTCCTACTGCTTTATTCTTTTTCATTGATGCCACAGACTCCCATACCTCTTCCTCAATAAATAAATCTACCAGTCCTTCATTCCACAATATATCCTCTAATGCCTATTTTGGGTATTCCTCATTCAGTAATTTTTCAAAATACTCTTTCCACCTTTTTTTCACATCATCATCACTGGAGAGTACCTTATTATCAACACCTTATATAATGATAATACTTAGCTTAATAATTTACCTTTCAGCCTCATTGGAATTCTTTTATCGCATAAGACACCAGATGCTTTTCTCCACTTCAACCACCCGCACTTAATCCTGTGTCTTACATCCTTGTCAATACCACCTCTCTTTTGCACAACTGATCCTAAATACTTGAAACATTCCACCTCTCGAAACGCGTCCTCACCTATTGTCACTGATCTCCTTATTTCATCTACCTCGTGTTCTTCTTTACCAAACTCGTACTCTATATACTCTGTCTTACTGTTACTTATTCTTAAACCCTTTTTTTCAAGAGCTGATCTCCAAACCTCTAGCCTTTGATTAATTTCCTCCTATTAACACTATATCATCATCACTGGAAAGTACCTTATTATCAACACCTTTTATACACCTTATATAATGATAATCTTTAGACCTTTTCTCTCATATCTTTGCAAGTCTATAGATTTCTTTCTCACCTTCATTTGTTCCTAGCCTATCATACAATTCATCATAACTCTTATACTTCGCCTTACTTACTGCACACTTGACTTCTTTTCACGAACGTTTATACTCCATCCAGTCTTCTCTCCTTTTGCTCTTCTGCCATACCTTGAATTGCTTTTTCTTACTTTCTATGATTTTTTGAATGTCCTCATCCCACCACCAGGTTTCCTTGTTTCCTGGCATTCTACTCCTACTCTCACCAACAATCCCCTTTGCAATATTTTTTAAACAACTAGCAAATCTATTCCACACATCATTTATGTCTCCTTTGGCATTCCACACCGTTTTCTCTTTTACCGTCTTTAAAAATATATATAAAAGTTTCAATTTTTCCGGAACACTTACAAAAATTAATTTTTTGTGAAAAAGTTATCACTTTGTATACCTCCCTGTGGGCAGGTAAAGGGTCCGATTTAAAAAAAATATAATACCAAATAATAGTTAAATACCTAATATATTTATTTAAAAGAAAATGTTTCTATTCATCTATTACAAAAATTAAATGGGTAATGTCTTCTACTAAATACGATTTGTGATCTTTTAATGTGTTGTTGAAAGAAATCGGTTCCGTGATAGCTGAGAAAAAGTGGTAACAGACACAAAAAAAAACACATCATAATAAAATTAATACTTTCTCAGCTTCGCACCAAAGTTAAAAATTAACGTAAAATTTAAAAATAAATGATTATTTTATTAGAACTGAAAAAATAAAAAATATTATAATATTTACTCAATAATTTATTAGTTGTATTTTGAAATACCACAGTAATTTTTGCTTATTGAAAAAGACAATTGGAAGGAAATAGAGAACGGAAATTGCAACCTTATTTTTGACCAATGACGTATTTTGTAAAGAAAAAATTAGCAAGAAATTAACATAATAAAGATAGCTTTAAAATAGTTCTGGTACATCAACGGAGGTTATGAGAACAAAAGAAACTTTTGCTTTAACTTTTTGAAATATAACAATGAAATGATTGTTGAGGTGAAGGATTCCAAAGATAAAATATTAATATCTCCGATATATACAAACTTATCATAAAGGAAAGTTTTAAAAATATCAAGACAATAAATAATTTTGGCATCTAAACTTGCACACGGGTTTCTTACGCAATGCGGGAACATTTAATGTCTTTAACATTCAGTATGTTTTACTAACAATACTCACTAGTTAAATGAAAAACAAATTTTATCCAACCACCTATAAAATATCGAATATAATTTGACATTATTATTTGAAGAGTAAAAAAAATTGAATTATTTATAATATAAAAGACAACTAGAGTTTTTATAATTAATTGTTAACATTTTAAATCACCATATATGTTATAAAATCATAGAAATTTTTTGAGTAGCTTCAAAATCTTACACCCTGGATGGGTTAATATTTTATACAGATAATTTATTTAAAATAAAAGTATTACTTAATTATAATATACAACACAACTAAATAAATAAAATTAAGAACATAATTAAAATTAATAATATTCCCGGTTGAATAACTTTTCTTTTATGTATACATTCGTAAGATATGTTGAAGTAAATTCAGTCAATGACTCAATTTCTGATTTTTTATTTAATTTTTTTAAGGCTAGAATCTAAATTAAATAGAAATATAATTAGATTAACATGAAAAAAGAATACTGGCATTAGAGGATTTTAGTGTGTTATGTATGTTAATCAAGTGAAGATATAGGCTTGAACTAAATTTTTGATGTTTCACTTATGTAATATACTTTTAACAAAATTATAGTATTTTTTTTTAATTTTAAAAAAAGTTTAACGTTAATATAGATTTCTCTAAACTTAATTTTTTAGTCTATCTTAAGGTAAACACAAATCAGGGTCGAGACATAGCGAACACCAAAGGGTCTATTTTTTGGACTAATTATTTGTAAACGTTAACACATTAAAATATTAGATTAATGCACAAATAGTTATGTAAAAAAAAAAAAATTTGTATCAATCTATTAATCTTATATTAATCATACTAAACCAATTTTTTTGAACAAATATTTTATGTATAATATTTATGTTAAAATAATTATAAAATAAATTATTATTAATATTATTAAAAAAAACCCAGCATAGGGGGTCGCGGCACAGTGGTGACGTGGCATAGTTGGATCAAGTATATTGATATCTGACAGTGATTAAAATCACTATAAAAAAAAACACTTCTATGCAAATCGTTAGATAGTGTTTAATTTAAAATTGGTGGATTATTCCAAAAGCTACACGATCTGCTATTTTCTTATTAATATACTGAATGAAAAAGGGGTTACTAAAAAATATTATTTCTCATAAAATAATTGTGTTGATCCATACATTTTTCAATAAGTTATAGTATTATAAAGTTAAAAATCTAAAAAATAAAATCAAGAAATTTCACATGAAAATATTCAGTAGCCATTTTAACCACGAAGACAAGTCCAGAGGTCAAATTTTTTTTTTTCATAATAAAGTATATAACATTATCTTTAAATTAAGATATATATAAAAATGTCAGACTTTCCGGAACATATTCAAAAGTCAAGTTGAAAAAGTTCTACTTTCTATATGCTTTTTAATGTTTTGAACACTCCCTGTATTAAGCGAAATGGTCCGATTTAAAAAACCCAGCACAGGGGGGTCGCAGCACAGTGGTGACGTGGTATAGATGGATCAAGTATAATGATATTTGACAGTGATTAAAATCACTATCAACAAAAAACGCTTCGATGCAAATCTTTAGATACTGTTTAATTTTAAAAATTGGTGGACAATTCCAAAAGCTACATGATCTGCTAGTTCATTATTAATATCCTAATTAAGATAAAGTATGTAGAATGAAAAAGGGATTATTAAAAAATATTATTTCTCATAAAAAAATAATGTTGATCCATACACTTTTCAATATGTCATAGCATTATAAAGTTAAAAATGTAAAAAATAAAATCGAGAATTTTCACACAATAATAGCATTCGGTAGCCATTTTCACCGTGAAGATAAAATAAAGTCCGAAATTTTTTTTTCGCATAATAAAGTAAATTACATTAGCTTTAATTTAATATATATATAAAAGTGTCAGACTTTCCGGAACACTTTCAAAATTTAAGTTGAAAAAGT